TATATATATATATGTATATGTATATGTATATATATGTATATATATATATATATATTCCGAAGGTTTTTATAAGAGAGTTTGTTCATCATTCGCCTGGTTTTATGCAACATATTATTCCTAAAAACATATTAAAAAATTTTTTTTTTCTGTTGATAGTATTTTCTGATTTATGGAATGATAAAAAGAGATATCCAAAATCCGCTCTATAAAAACATTTGACTCGAATGTATCAACAAAATGAAACCACAATTGTATCAGCTTTGTCCGATGTTCAGATTAATTCTCTGGAAATGTATGCAAATTAGTGCATATTTAACTAGATAATGCATACTTCAATATAACATATCAGAAAACTTGTAAACTATAATGTGTGCCACTAATTTGAGCTATTGTGTCTTGCCTTAACGCAATAATGGTGCCATATACTATATATTTTCAGTATATTCATATATTGAATAAATATAGGAGCTGTTGATCACTGTTACCTGTGTGTTTGAGTCGTCTGGCGAGTGCAGTTCAGGTGTCTGACAGTTTCTCGTGTTTGCGCTGATGACTTCGATGAATGTTTGGCACTGAAGCACCTGCACAGCTCTTATTTAAGCGTGTGTTGACACTCCTTCATTACGGAGGAGGCGACAGGCTGATGAACACTCATGACACTTACAGTCCAGGAAAGTGGATCTCTTCCTTCTGTTACTGAACAAGAAATACTCCAAGAACAAACAAATCATCATGAATCACGAGCATCAGAATCAGCTCAAAATCCGTGAATCACAAAAAGCAATTAATTCATACAAAAGCCATGGCAATGAATACATTTCTGCAGCCTGAGAGGAATTAAAAATCTGTTCAACAAGAATATAAGCCTTAAAAATGGCATATTTTTATTATTATTATTATTAACATTGCCATTTCTGAAGCCTTATAAATACTACTACTACTCATAATGTAATTTTAATGATGATGATAATAATATATTTTTGTTAAACAGATTTTTAAACAGATTATTATTATTATTATTGAAATGTATGCACATAATGTAATTGTATTCATATTATTATCAATAATAATAATATAGATTATTATTATTATTAGTCTGTTTTTTTATTAGTAACAATTCTTGAATATGGTAAACTGTTTTTGTTTTATATCATCTGAAAACTTTTTTTTTCATTGATATCAATTATTGTTGTTTTGTTACCTGTTATCTAATTTACTTTGTCTTTTTAAAGGTGAAGTACGTTATTTCTGCTCCACTATAGTGTTACCGAACAAAAATCACAAAAAAGAGGTGTGTCCCATTTCAAATATTTCTGCACTATTTTTCAACATTTTGTCGTATTAAATGGTGTATATTAAAGCATATATAACCTATATAGATATATCTATATTGCGCATATCTTACCTTTTGAACCTTCACACCCAAATAACAAACGCATTCACTCATGCACACATATGGACATATTAATATTAATTAAACATGGTTCCATAAAGCCCTCTGATGTTTTACATAAGGTGACACAGACGAAGAGAAACCAGTTTGACCAATTTCACAAAAAAACTGAAATAGTGAAAAGGAGGGAGGGAGGGATGAGATTAGGATGAAGAAACAGAAAAGAGGTGTGCGTCCTCTCATTTTTTGCCATTATTATCATCGGTCTGGTATGATAAGAGCCGAGTGTGTGTGAACGGGTGGGTCGATGTGGGTTATGCTGTCACATTCATAACAATTACACCGATGATTATCAACCACTTTCAGGCCAAACGATTGACCGGTTTACAATTAACAGCGTATGTGTGCTGGAACAGGCTGGAACAATGCGGTTTGCATATTAAAACAATAGCACATCTGCATTCACCTTCTTCTCAGTGCCAGTGGAGCAGCAGTACACACTTGAATTGATTGTTATAGTATAGAAAAGACTGACAAAAAAACGAATTTACTGACAAGCCCGGGCACTAGTTGTTTGGCCACTTGTATCTGTTCTCATAGAAGTTTTAAAAACTTCAGCTATTTTAAGATGCATGTAGATCAAAACATGTTCAAACATCAAGAAGTGTACTTTATAAATTAATTAGTGTCTGCTAAATTAATAAATGTAAAGGAAGTTATTATTGTTATTATATATGCAATAAATATATATATTTATTTATTTATTTATATATTTATGTATATATTACTTAAAAATTTTGGTTTGAGATTATTAAGGAATATAATCTAAAAGATTCTGTGAATGTATTGAAATGGGGCTCATTTGTGACCCTGGAGCACAAAACCAGTCTTAAGTCGCTGGGGTATATTTGTAGCAATAGCCAAAAATACATTGTATGGGTCAAAATTATAGATTTTTTTTTATGCCAAAAATCATTAGAATATTAAGTAAAAATCATGTTCCATGAAGATATTTTGTAAATTTCCTACCGTAAATAAATAAAAACTTCATTTTTGATTAGTAATATGCATTGCTAAAAACTTCATTTGGACAACTTTAAAGATGATTTTCTCAATATTTTGATTTTTTTGCACCCTCAGATTC